TGTCCTTGAGGTCTCCTACACAGCCTTTCTAGAACCTCTAGCATTAATGCTTCCTTTTTCTGATCGCTGCTGTCTTTCAAAGGATATTATTGACAAGAACTTTTAAAGTATTAGAGATTGACTATATGTCTCAAGATGTAGGGGCCTTCTAAGGTCTGAGAGATGGCTTTTATTATGCCTCATTAGTATGCAATGCTTTCAAGCCGATTAGTTTAGGGGCAGCTAATGTTCTCTTGACCTATTTATATCACTTGGGGTTCCATGTATGACCAAGTATTAGGTCTGATTCTGGTCATTTTTTGATTCTGTGATTTCTGACTAATCATGCAATCTCTCTGAACTCAGAGTCTATAACAGTAAGATGAAAAGACTTGGTTTTATGTGGCTCTTAAGGTCATTTCCAGTCCTGAAATTAATTCTAAGGTTTTCTAAACTTTTGCTATAATTAGTGTTTTCCATTAGAGTGCAAGCATCTGCCTATTTTGTGATGTTGATTACTCTTCTGCATGAAGTTTTAGAATGAAACCTCGTCTTTGAATAGTATACCTTTCACATACCCACTTCCATTCTCAGAGAAAATTAGTCCATGGCCATTTGATCTCATTATATATGGTAGATGCATTCTGCTTATTTTTCCTTCAGTCCATCAAAATGCATCATTACCAGATTCTGCGTGACTTTTAAGGATATTTCAAAACATTTTCTCTTCTAGACTCCCATATCCTCCTCTGCCACTCTCCACCCCCACCCCCCAGTTAAAACTATTTTTGTCAAACAAAGCTGTCGTTATTTTCCCCTTCATGTTTTCAAATAACTCTAATAACATTATTAAATTTTACAAACAAAAATAAGTTCACACAAAAGAAAAAGAAAGAAACCGAAGGCCTCTATTGAGAGTGACATTATGTATATCACCCTTGTTTTGAGAATTGATGAGCGTTATTAAGGTAGTATATCAATAAGAGCCACTGCCAACAGAAATGGGACAAAATATTTTTGGAATATTGTTTAGCTCTCTGTGAATTAAAAATTATGTCGACATCATAGCATTTCCTTATGCAGGTTATTAAGGATTGATTGCAACAGATTACACACACACACACACACACACACACACACACACACACACACACACACAAGAATACCGATAAGTGCTTATAACTAAAAAAACAGACCCTAAATGATCTCCTGTAATTACCCAACGTTTCCTACTGCAAACCTCAGAAAATAATGACTTAAGAAAGAATAAAATGCTCGGTGTACAATCACTTCTATATGTAAGACCTTCCTTTTCTACTTAGAAATCTTTATTCTAAGTGATATGGTTTGAGTATGTATTAATTTGCAGCCAGCATTAGTACATAAGTTTATGGACAGATTCACTGGATATTTTATTAGGTGTCCCTTTTGCTGTTTGGCCCCTGTAATTTGGCTTTAAGACATTATATATACTTATCTCCAAAAGAGTACAGGATAAGGAATGAATGATTTTTCCATAAGAGTAATAAAAAAATAGGGAGTAAATAAACTTTATTTGTCCACATGTCACTTTCATCCTGCCTCCTTCCTCTCAATATTTTTAACTGTCCTTGTAAAATTTCCTCTTCTATGAATATTTTACCCATGCCTGCTTAATGGCTGGGAGATAGAGGTAGCTACAGCTGCTGGGGTCCTACTAGCATGTCAGTCTAGGTTTGGGAGCCAATTTTAACTTTTTCCTTTCAGATAATTCCATACTGTATTTAGATATGGATATAGATAGATGATAGCCATTATTTAAGAGTAAATGGTGATATGTGTGTGGATGGTGTGTTTTAGAGTAATAATTATGTTTTGATTTTAAGAGGGGAATAGTTTGGTTCATTAATAACAATGAATAGCATAGGACAACAGATTGTTTTTTAACCTTCAGTGAAGGCAATTCATAGGATCATGGAGATATTCTTATACTGTAAGATGGTTATTTTATCAGTGGGAAGGAAAACACCAATTCCCTCTTCTTCAATATTCTTCTCCAAAGTCATTCTATTTTGAGGTTTTGGAGCTTTCCTACTCACTTGCCTACTATTGAGAGTGAAATATTCAGATCTAGAGGAGCAGCACCGTCTCATTTCCTCATATTATCTCCTGTCATTTCTGACCATTCATCTTTATTCAGATATGAAAAATAAGAATATCATTAAAGGTCAGCAATTTCCAGTGTGGGAGTTTTTATCCGTGACATAATTATTTTTACTGTCACATCTTTATATAATAAAGAAGGACCTGCAAAGATAAAAGAACTTCACAAAAGACTATCCTCCCAACCTCAGAGAACTCAAAAATATTATTCATTTAACACTTGTAATTATTTCTTTTCTTTTCTTTCCTTCTCTCCAATTTCCTTACTGCACATTGGTTCTTTTATTCTTTTCTTTTGATTCCCTTCCAGCAACCTCTGTTTTCCACTATGTCCACTGATTTTTTTTTTTTAAATAGTTTTTATTGATTTCAGAGAGAGGAAAGGAGAGGGAGTGAGAGACAAACATCAGTGATGAGAGAGAATCATAGACCAGCTGCCTCCTGTGCGCCCCCTACTGGGGGCTGAGCCTGAATCCAACCCTGACCTCCAGGTTCAGGGGTCCACCCTCAACCACTAAGCCACACCCGCTGGGTCCACTGATTTTTTCAATGCTGCTATTCTTTTGCCATCACTTCTAAATTTCTACTTTTAGTTTTGTTGTCTCTTTTTTCTTTCATATTTCAAATATGAGTCCCAAAGATTGTGCCAAGATGAATTATTGAGAATGAAGACGGTGATTGATTATGAGGGGCTTAAGGAACTGGACAGAGGAGGCGCTGTCAAGAACTTCTTCATGTAATAGAGGTGCGTTGGACAGACCTGGGATATGAGAAGCAAGGCACAGAGAGCCCTACCAAGGCCTGACCAAAATGGGACACCTATTAAAATAATTATTTGGAGTAGTGTGCACTAAAGAAAATAAAAGAAACCAGTCTGACAGGTCAGTAGCTAATAACCCATGGGTTTGCTACTAAGGAAATTAAAACTTAGGTAATGAGAATGGCAGCCACCAACTGAGAATGAAACTAAAAGCTTCCTATTAACTCCCTCCCTGGGTCCTTTTGACAGAACAGTTGGAAAGTTACTTCCTATTTATTTAGTAGCAAAAGACTTGAAATGGAGGCGAAAAAGAAAAAAGACGATGCAAACTCTAATTTAGCTCTCTCAAGAGGAGATCCAGACAGGGTATTTTTTCCCCTCTGGCCAAAACATACATCAGCATAGGTCAGGAAAAGAGGAAGGACAGGAAGGAAGGAAGGAAGGAAGGAAGGAAGGAAGGAAGGAAGGAAGGAAGGAAGGAAGGAATTT